TCGTTCTTTGAAGTGTGACTTCGGTAAATATTGTGTGTGCATGAGGTACTTCGTTGTGTTGGTTTTGTTGCAGCAGAGCGAGTAGATAGCGTCGACAGTCCCAGCCGGTGCGTTGTTCCATTGTGAGCTGATTTGTCGACGGCTGATCCTCGATTGAGTTGACGCCGCCATTCCTCGACGTTCGTGAATGGACGTGTCATTGGAAGGTAGTTCGTTGCATACTGGCTAGGACTGTTCCCGCATCAGGATGGAAGAGACGCACGTGATAATGACTTGTGGATATTTGCATCTACAACTTTGGAATAGTCTCTTCGACCTGGCTCGTGATAACGTCGTCGACGGTTGTCTTGACCACAAAGTTGTCTTCGTCGTCACTGTCGTAGCCCCCGACAATCGCAATGTGCTGCGCACGGCGGCTCTTGGCAAGCTCGTTGAGTTCGGCAATCCGCGCCCGGAACGCTTCGGCGAGCGCCTTCTTCTGGGCCTCTTCCGCGGCCAACCGTTCCTTCTCGCGCTTCTTGTCGAGGTCGGTGAACTTTTTGACGTACTTTTTCAGGTTCTTGAGCACGTCCTTGTACTCGGCATCTGAGAGGAGGCTCTTGGGTCGTGGCCGCCACAAGAACTGGTAAAACTGGTCCTTCTTCTTCTCTTCCAGGAGCTTGCCCTGGAACGTCCACAGGTTGTACCCATTGTCCATCGTGTACTTGGCATTGTAGTTCTACGAGAGCGTCGTCAGGACGAGCCGTGCAAGGACGGGGCGTACGTGGATGGGCTGGCACACGGACGTGGTGACGACGCGACCGGACGGGTCCCATTCCAAGTGGCTAAACTTAAAGTGCTCTTGGATCGAGATGCTCTGGCGCTCGTCGACGTCCCAGAACTCGAGAGTGCCGTTGAGTTCGCCCATGCCCGCCAGCACGATGTTGTTCCCGTACGGCGACCAAAAGAGCGCGTTCACTGCCTTCTCCGTCTCTGTGTACAATAACGTGACTTCGTTGTTGCGGGGGCCGCCGTTGCAGTCGTAGAAGGACACATTCAGGCGAGTCGCGTTCTACAAGACAAGCGTGAGCGGCACACGCGCGCGCAGACTCCATACCTCGCCGTGGATGATGGCAAAACGAGAGCCTTTTGGTTCCCACGCAAACGCTCGGACCGCGTCCTTCATTTCAAGCATCTCGACTGGAACGAGCGCTTCGTGGGTGCGGAAGATTTCAAAGTTGGTAAATACCGTCTTCTTCGACTTGGAGTGGCGCGTGACCTTGACACTGAGAAACTGGCCGCTCGGGTGCCACTGGATATGGCAGTCGGCCACGTTGAACAAGTTCTTTTGGCGGATTTCGCGGCGCGATGGGATCTCGACGAGCGAGACGCGGGCCGGCGAGTTGGACGCTTCTGGCGCCCAGTACGCGAGCGTGCTCTTGCCAGCGGGGCTCCAGAAAAAGTCCTCAACACCGTCGGCCTTGAGCGACTTCTTGTCGAGGAGCTTCATCGACGGCAACTCGTAGATCGAAATAGCATCCTTCCCGCGGCGAGCAACGTACTTGTCATCTGGACTCCACTTGAATGGAGTGTCCAGCGGCGCGTTCGGGCCCTTGGCACCCAAGGGGAACCCACGGAGCAGCTTGCCGGTCGCGACATCCCACACCATGATCCCGTTGTCACCCTCGAGGCCGTTTGACGTGATGAGGTAGTTCTCTTGCGGCGAAAAGAGCGCCACGTTGACTTGACGGTGAGCAAAACGGGCAGTCTTTTCCCACGAGTCCCCACCCCAGAGCGCCAGACCTTGGGGATGAAAGGTGGCAAGGTACGTTCCGAGGGGACTCCACGCCACGTACTGCGAGCACCATTGCTTGCCATTGACCTTTTCGCGCGCGCCATCGTACAAGAGTTCCGGGCGGCCTTGATCGCTCCAGTACAGCTCGGTTTCTGAGCCGTGGCGCAAGACAAACATGTCGCGCGATGTCGGGTCCGCCAGCCACGTGTTCAAGTTCGGGCGCGGCACAAATTCTGGACGGGTCGGCGGGACGTACGTGTCCGACACATTGGCGTGCTTCTGAATATCTTGGTACAAGTAAGCTTGCAGCGTGTGCTTCTTGTCGAGGGCAAAGTTGTGCAACGTCGTGACGGCTTTCTTCGCATCGGCTTCGGTTTCGAACTCGATGAACAGGTACCCTCCCGTCAAGGGATCCGCCGCACCAGGAAGGTACGGCATGTCCATGGCAACAACGGGCCCGATTTGGGACACGAGCTTGTTGAACACGGCCAGCAACTTGTCGTACTTGGCAGATGTCACTTGGGGCGCCTTCTCGACAACGACACAATTCGAGTAGTCGTTGACAGCAGCCTCAATCGCAGCAGCATTGGCAGCGTCGTCGTTCTTGTGGTCGTTTTCTTCGTCCGACAAGTACTCTGCGAGGTCTGCTGCTTCCTCCTTGAGGTACTGCAGCTTCTTCTCGAGCGATCGGCCAGTCATGATGTCAAAATGCAGTGAGATGGCCACCACCAGTTAAAGCCTTCGAGCGAGGAAGAAGATCCACACTAATTAACGGCTGGACACCAAAACCTCACCACGGTGAAATAATTGTCTCAAAAAAATATTTGTCGATGCCACAAATATTTTTGTCGAGATTAATCCTACACAACCGGAAACCTGTTCCATGAAAGGAGGTCGGTACAGGACACTGGATATTATTCAAGGGTACACCACAACCAAGCTGGAGGGCGTCACCGCAACAACGCGGCGCGTCGGCGGCGGCGCGGTCGAGCTAGTTGCGACGGCTGTGGCGACGTCAGCCGTGCATGGACACCGCCTTCACGGATGACGTGGGCGCTGCGTATTTCCGATTACTTGGTACCCGTCCACAGTTTGGTGTGACTGGTCTCGTGGACGAGCTGCTTCCAAGACGCATGGGTCTGCTCGATGACTTGGATGGCGAAATCCTACAGACGCATGGTTACAACGAGATGGCCCTTCGCGTCGTACGCGAGGCTTGGCGTGGCCGTCAAATGCAAATGCACTCGGGGGTTTGCCGTCCGGAATTTTGTAGTCGCGGAACCAGTCGCGAATGGCGGCGACGGTGGCCGGTGCATGCTTTTGGAGATCGTCCAAATCTACGACGACATGCATGCGTGTGGTGGCAGTTGAGGCATCCCCAGCGCACCGTGGAGCTGGGCCGCAAGCGGGTCGTCTGTGGCAATCGCGATCACCTTCCAGTCCGTCTCGCCATCGTCAATCATCCCCAGCACGCCAAGAACCTTGACTGGGTACACATCGCCAACGGAAGCCACGCGAGATCCAATCTCGCACACGTCGATGGGATCGTTGTCGCCTAGACACAAGGTGAAGGGATGAAGAAGCTTATTTCTTGAAGCAACATACCTCCGTGCTGGGTCGCTGGGTCGATGTGCGCAGGGTCTTCCCAAGTCTGAGGGATGCACCCGTAGTTCACAAGCGAGTCAAAATGGTAAAAGCTATCCAATGGACCAAGAATCAGTTGCGCGACTGACAGCATGATGAGCGTGCGCACCGCAGGTTTCCCTTCTTCACGTCTTGTTTGATGGGATTGTGGGCTTCTTCGCCAGCAATCTCCATCTTGGCTCGTGTCCTGGATGGAATTCGACGACGTGAGCAGGATGATTCAACGTGGCGTTCACTTGTACCCTTTCGAGATCTCGTTGACAAAGTTGAACACGTTTGAGCGGTTTTCTCCATGTGGACGCAATGGAATGTCATGCCATGGAGACATCACTGCCTCAGTCGATGCGTTCACGTACACGAGACGACTGTCGACCGTGTCCTTTGCACCGACTTGCTTGGTCGTGTACACACTCTATCCATCTCATAACGCCTCTGCAAGCATATCTAGCTGTACCAAGCACCGCGCACGAACGGGTAGCGCAGTCCACGTCGGCGACCGCAGCAATCGAGTGGCACGCAGCATCGCAGGTGTTGTGCGTTCGAACAGAGTGAATTCCGGATAAAAAGTCAACGACCGGATAACTTCGATTCCATTGCAGTTAATTGCCGCGGTCAGTCGTCCAAGACGCCGAGTTCCTTGACGAAGCTGTCGATCGTGGGCTCACGGCCGAGCACATTCACGAGCATGTCCATGGGTTTCTTTGCCCCGCCGTGGCGCAGCACTTCTTCGTACAACACTTGACCGGCCTTGGGGTTCCACGGATCCGCAGCGAAGCAGTGCTGCCACACGTCGGCGGCAAACACGCGCGCGTACAGGTAGCTGTAATACCCGGCGCCGTAATTGACCTACCACAACTGTCACCTTGATTGTACCGTGAATGCTGTACCAGGTGGCCAAATCGAGTGTGCCAGTGCGTCCCGGTCGGAAACGGAACGAGGGTGTGTTGGTTCTGTAACGTTTGCAGTGCTTGCGTCGTCGTGGGGGGCGAAAACGGCAGTGGCTGCGTCCCAAACAGCGTCAGATCCAGCATCGAATAGAGGCATTGGGTCTACACAACATCCATCGAGTCAGTCACTGTCGGCCGCGGCCTCGAAACAACCTGCGTGTCCATGGCGCTAAACATGTGCTTGGATGCCCTCAAGTTGTCTAGCATTGTCCTTGGGATCGGCGCGTTCGTGTCGTAGTGCTTTGCAAAGGTCTCGACGACCCGCGGGTCCCACGCAAAGTACTCGAATAGGTGGGACGGCATCTCTACAAAATCGAGCTGGCCGCGGGTGCCGCTTACGTGCTGCATCTCGGTTTGGGACAGCACGGAGTGGAGCGCATGGCCAAACTCGTGGAAGAGCGTCTCGACCTCGCCATGCCTATGGTCGTCACGTGAGCATGCATTGTGTCTGGGTGATCAAGGGCTCACGTGAGGAGCGGCGGCATGTCTGGCGTCGGCTGCTGAAAGTTGCAAACAAGCGCAACGACCGGCGTTTGGTAGTGAGTCGCAAGTTGCTTGCCGCATCGAACGGTAAAGTGGGCAAAGTGGTTGTACTTGCTCTGCCGGGGGTACAAGTCGAGGTAGAGGACCCCCAGGACGCGACTCGCTTTGGACACGACCAACTTGCGCACGTCGGGGTGCCACGACTCGTGCTCGTCCATCGGCGTGTCTTTGAGCTCGATGCCAAACAACTCGTTACAGAGCAGTCGCAATCCGTCCACGCACTTTTCCACGGGGAAATACGACGAGATCACGCGCGAGTCCAAGTGATGGTGCCGGGCTTTCAACATTCCCATGTAGTACGGGACGTCCCAACTCTCAACGACGGTTGTGGCGACTGCGGGACGTGGGGTCGTTTGCCCAAACAGCGTGCGAAGCTGATTCAGCACAGCATCGCGTCGTCCATGTTCGTCGTGGAGCTTGGCCGTTGCCAGAAGGTGGCGCTCCGCCTGGGCCTTGGTCATGAGGTTGGCCGCGATGGACTGAAGGAAGGCCGCGACTTTCTCCGGACTCTCGGCCATCTTGTCACTGCGAACGCAGCATCATTCCAGCGATCGCATGATTTGAAAGCGCACCTCGTCGCCAAGTGAGCATATGTGGGAAAACCTAGCGCAGTCGCCACTGCATGCCGCGCTTGGATCAAGTCGTCTAGCACCTACGATTTCGTTGTTGAAAACAGTGAAAGAAGTGCGGCACAAGTCTGCCACGACACACTTGGAGGTTCACGGCAGCGCACGTATTCCCGGCGATGTACATTTGCTTGCGAACGGCGGGGTCTGGAATCCATTTCATGATGGCGTGCATGACATGCGAATCCGTTGGCACCATGGCAGACAGCCCGTGGACCGAGCAATGCCGCATGTAAGTCGCAGGGAGGTTCGTCAAGGCACTGCGCGGCACCTGCGACGAAAACGACGACGTTGAACGGCAAGTGGAGCGACTGACTCGACTGCACCTCGATGTACTCGCGCACGTTTGTGATATTGTGTTGGAACTCTGAGCTGAGGCTGCGTCCGCAGCATTAGCTTTCGGCACTCGCATGCACAGACCGCTTTACGCACCGTGTGATGTCGTTCTGCAACGAAATGACTCGGGCTCGACCCTCTTGGTTCAAATGAATACCATCGCGCTCAAATTCAGCCCGAAGAAGCAGCGCGACTCGCCGCTGTTCCTCTACGCTGGTGGCGTCACGATCTAGTCGGTCATGGAACAAGCGATCGACCTGTGAATGTGGCCATGAGCGACTCGTCGACAGTGACGTCTCGCAAGCGCTGGTACATGTCGGTGTCGGTGTTTAGTTCTTGAATCAGCGTGGAGAGCTTGATAAACGACTGGGATGCCGCCGCTCGGAAGTTTCTGCATCGACACGATCATCACATTGGGCGTGACACATGTCATCGTACGCATCAGGGTGGACATTGCGACAGAGCTCGGCCGCATCGATCACGGTGCATACTTCGTTCGAAATCGCATCCAGGTCTTGGATCGTGGATAAACCAGGCGGTGTCGTCAAAATGCGGTGCTTCAATCGCCCGATCTGGCGGATCGCATTGGCGCCCAAGGCGGCAAAGTCGTCGGGACGGACCAAGCCCTGCAACCCAAAGAGGCCTCGTTGAGCTGACATCGTCATAATGCGCGACGAAGCGTTCGTTGCCTTTGCCCTGAACGGCAAGATGCGTCCGCCATGACGATGGCGACCCCACGTCCTTGCGACGACCACCATGTTGCAATGGTCTTGTCCGGATAACGAGGATCTTGTAACCGGAATCGCCTCATCCAAGTTTTTGAAAGGTCGTGCGATGGCGACGCTGGAGCTTGAGCATGTCGTGGGGTACACCGGCCGCGGCAAGGACACCGTGCACACTCATCCACGGGATCCCGATATGTATCTTACAAGGTAGTTGGGTTGTGTTCAGGCTGAGGTCTGAGTGTGTGTGTGTATTGGTTAGCATGGGTGCGGCGATCGTTGTGGCGCGTCTGTCGGACCCACACGCACAAGAATTCTTGCGCGGTCACGACGAAGAGATCACGTCCATGGCGATATCACGGTCTGGATTGCTCCTCGCATCGGGCCAGTTGCCGTCCACCAAGCGAAACGTACTTGATCCGGAATATCGTCCGTCAGATCTCACCACGAACGACGCAGGGCGCCACGATCGTTGTGTGGGAATTGAATTCGAGAACAGAGCTGTATCAACTCCAAGGGTTCCAATGCAAGATTATGAAGATTGCATTTTCGCCCGACGATCATTTCCTCGTCGCGTCCGGCGCGGACGGCCGCGTCATTCTGTGGGATATGCGGGTGCGTGCTGCCATCCACGTCGTCCACAGCCTCAACACGCTCGTTTCGTAGACGTCAGAAGTGATCTTCACCAAGTCGTTTCCGTCCCCCGTCGCCATCGTAAACTGGGGCCGCGTGGAAGAGAAGAGCCGGCGGCCAAAGTACACGTTGACGTTTGCCTGCTCGAGCCAGCTCGTCGTGAACGACCTGTCGTACGACATAGCATGCATGCAGTACAAACTCGAGAGCTTTCCCTGCGCGATGCCGTCGACGGGCCTCGTCCGCGACTACCTGACGGCGACAATGACTCAAAACAAAGACGTGCTCCTGGCAGGCACGATCGCAGGGGAGCTCGTGGTGTTCAACACGGACGCACGCGTCTTCAAGAGCACGATCCCCATCTCGACCAACGGCGTCCACAGCATCGTATGCGACTCCACATCTGGCTTCATCTTTGTCGGAGCGGGCGACGGAGGGCTAAAAAAACTTGTCGGCGCCCAAGTGGACTGGAATCTCGTTGGCCATGTCCAGCTCCTCGGAGGAATCGTCGGCCTCGCTGTCACGTGCGATGGCGGTGCCCTCGTCGCTGGCACGACTGCTGGCAAACTGTACCAAGTGTCGACAGCGGACCTGCGAGTACGAGAACTGGCCACGAGCCATCTCGCTCCCGTCACAGCCGTCGCGTTTGGGAATGGACGTAGCGACTCGTTCGTGAGCTTGGCCAAGGATGGAACGCTCAAGGTGTGGGACCTTTCCACGTACACGGTGCGGTGCATGGCGGCGGACAATGCCGCTGGAAGAAGCGTGTGCTATGCGCCGTCGCCGGTCCAACCTGGTTCGGTTTGGATTGTCAGCGGGTGGAGCGATGGCTGGCTTCGGTGCTACGACGAAGCCACGGGGGTAAGTTTGGTAGCAATGCCGCGATAACTAACTGTGCGACAGGCTAAAATGTGGCACATCTCGGGCGCGCACCGGGGGGATGTGTCGTCGGTGGCAGCGACCGCCAAGATCGTGGTCAGCGGCGCAAGCGATGGCGGCGTGAACGTGTGGTCACTGGCGACGAGAGAGCTGCTCCTGCAGTTTCACGAACATAAGCGCGGCGTAACGCAGGTGCTGGTGGACATAGTCAAGCCGCATTGGATCCATTCGTGCGGGTTGGACCGCGCGCTCTTCATCTACGACGTCAAGGCCGAACGGCGTGTGATGGTGCACCAAGTACGCGAGGGCGCGTTCCTCACGATGAGCCAGCGACTGGACAGCGAGAACGAGATCGTGACAGGGGGTGCGGACGGTCGCGTGTTGTTTTGGGACTGCGACGTGACCGAACACGTCAAGTTGATGTCGGACCCGAATCGCATGGGAATCGCATCGCTGCAAGTGTCTCCTTCAGGTACACATCCCTCGTTGGCGACCGTCATCGTTCGTTGTGCACAGGTCGGTATCTCGTGACGGGTGGCGAAGACTGCCACGTCAAAGTGTTTGATATCCAACGTGACGTGCTCGTGGCGTGTGCGCTTGGTCACTCGGGCGGCATCCAACAAGTCACATGGAGTCCCGACGAGCGGCAACTCGTGTCGGTCGGCGACGACTGCTGCATCTGCATTTGGAACTTCTTCCAAGACATCGAGTAACACGCCCACGACAACGTCGATGCTTCGATTGATCCTAGCCTGCGTTCATGTCGGCCGTCCATCGCGCGACCACCGAACACCGTGACGGTGTTCGCGTCTCCGTGCGGCGGACGCATCTGGATGCTCACCCAACGGCGCCGCGCATCGCCATGCGACACACCACGACGTCGTGAATGCATACGAATCGTGACATCACGGAGGGCAAATCGAGTGCAATACCTCTGTAAATGAATATTTATTTCGTATCCGGACAAGATTGCTTGTGTACTATGGCACAAAACCTGTTTCTCCATATATACTGTGTCGTTCGATGTTTTGAGGATTACGTGGGTTATTCGATGCCACAGGACATGGTTGTGATTGGGCAAGTCAAGATTCAACCCTACCCGCGTACGATATTTCAATGTTGCACAGTATACAAAGACCAAGTGATTAAATACATTTTTGACTACTTTGATGCACCACGACCATCACAGCACCGAATAAAGATGCAGGCGCATACAAACTTCGAGTGATTCTTTGGGCATGTGCCGGTGAACGTTTTTTCCATTCATCAACAACGGCGGTGCGGCGTCGGCGGCATTCGTTCCGGCTTCGTCCCTCCGTGTGTCCGCCGTCACAACGACCTCGTCGCTGTCATCTGTGTGTCTCGTTAGGTCGTCTCCCATCCATCATGGCTGCACCTGCCAAGTTGCGGAAGTTTAACATGGGCATCATCGTGCTCGTGTTGGCACTGCTCTTGACCATGGTGGTGGCATTCGTCTTCCTCGCGTTCTTCTCGTTCGCGCCCGTGCTGTGTGCGTGCTGCGTCGGCATCCTGTACGTGATTGGACTCTATCTGGGCTTTGAATCGAAGGCCTGGCACCACGCACAGGAGTTTGAGAACCGATTTTGGACCGTCATGGCGTTCCTGTTCAGCACGGCACTGTTCTACAGCAAGGACTCGCCGTTTGCGATCGGGCGGTACAGCACGTCGTTGGGATGCGTCCTCGTCATTGCATTCACCCTCGCTGTCCAGTTCTTGGACCGGCACATCCATCGCGAACAACTTGCGAACCAAGGACGAATAACACGTTCCCAGCTGCCACTCGCGACCAAGGACATCAACCTGGCGCACACCAAAACGAGCATCATTGCCCAGTGCGTGGCGTCCGTCGACCCTATTTATCTCCCATCGACCATCAACTTGATTGTGAACGGCGATGCAGTCAAAGGACAGGTAGGCGGTCCAACGCCGCCGCGGATGTCGCGCTGACGAGACGGCCATGTCGATAGGAGCAACGCGTGCTAGACATTCTCATGAAAGCCGAGAAGACCGAATTAAATTATATCTTGGGGCACATTCAACTGGCGCTCCTGTTTTACAAGGTGAAGGACCCGTGCCGGACCCACATCTGCCAACTCTTGTGCGAAACCCGCGTGATGGAGCTTACGGTCAACTCGCGCGCGATCGTGCTGGATGCGCTGATGCTGATGAAGCTCTCCGCCCACGCAAAGGGCGAATTATGGGCCAAGAACATTCTCCTCCGCACCACGGGCGACGACTTGTCCATCGTACGTATCCAATGCTGTCTCAACTTGGTCTGACAACCATCCCGATAGCTCAAATCCACGACCGACTCGAAAGGCACGATCCACACGATGCATCAACTGGTCTACCATGACATCCGTAGCGACTCCGTCCGAAGTAGGTGGCCATCGTCGAGAGCGGTCGCCACGAAAGCTTCGAGGCCACGAGTGCCGCATCTCGTCCCTTGTGAATTCTCACCATGCGTGCGTAGCGGCGGTGCTGAACCACATTCAGCGGCAAGCCCGCTTTCAGCTCGCACACATGCAGATCAGCACCAAGAACATTGGCGGGAAGCGCAAGCAGCTAGAGTGGCGCAAGGTGCTGAGCGATGTAGACGATACGCTCGAGTCGTCCGGGGGCATGTGGCCTGCGGGCGTCGATCGATCGTACCCTCGCCACACAGTGTACCCCGGCGTCCTGGCATTCTATCGCGAGCTCGACCTAGGTCCGAACGCTCCGTCGTCGACGTGGGAGCCAGGTCGGCTGGGCAACCTCACGTTCATTTCGGCCCGGCCGCACGTGTACAAGGACTTGTCGGAGAAGAAGTCGATTAAGAAATTTGACCGGCTGCACTCGACGCGGGGCTTGCACTGCTTGCCGTCGATGCTGGCCGGCAGCGTTGCAAGCGGCACGGCGTTCGTCGTGAAGGGCGACTTGGAGCCGATGGCGCTCAAGAAATTTGAAAACTTTCGCGAGTACTATGCCATCTACCCCGAGTACAAGCACATTTTCATCGGGGACAATGGCCAAGGCGACGTCCGTGCCGCCCAGCTCATCGCCGACACGTACGGCCCGTCGGTCCTGGAAGCAGGGTACTTTCATTTGGTCCAGCCGCTCGAGTCGACCCACGGATTCGTCGACAAGGACACGTATAAGCGCCAGAACATCTTCTTCTTTGAGACGTACGTTGGGGCGGCGGTCCGCGCCTACCGCATGCACCAGATATCCAAGCGCGGGCTCCACCAGGTCGCGGAAGAGGCGTCGGCGACGTTCTTGGCCATGCAATGGAAGCCCCACGACGCCGACCGCCGCGAACTCAATCGGATCAAGTTAAATGCAGACTTTGCGCTCGCCAACGAGATCCTCCAGGAACAGTCGGTGCCACTCATCGGGAAACCACAAAAGTACGATGTTGGAACGTGCATGGAGACGCCGTTTGGCAACGGCATGCTCGTCGCGTACAACGCGGTCACGGGCATTTACTCGGTCGACTTGATCGAGTGGTGGAGTCGGTCCGGCCACACCAAAGTGTACCTCCCCGAAGACAGTCTCTCCAACGCGAAGCGCCCGCTCAACGATTTCTCGCTGGCGACGGTCGCGATATCGATCCAGCACTCGCACAACCCCGCATCGTACGTCCGCACAAGCATGGTGTCGAGCATGGACCCACTCCTGCTGTCGCAAGGGGTTGTGCCGCTGCGGACGGCCGTGTCGACGCCGTTTGGCCCTGGTGTTGTGCTTGCCTACCGTCCCGACCACATCTACGTCATTCAGCTTTCCACGTTGAATAGAAAAGCGCATTGCCAGCGCGACCATGTCCGAGCCCTCGTGGTGCCGCAGGACAACACGCCGTCTCCATCGAGTTCCAGCCGCAGTTTCGTCCGGTCGTCGATTGGGTACATTGCCAAGAAACTCAAGGTCGGGTTCATGACGTCGCCGTCGCAAGGTCCGACGCTGTCGTCACCGGTGCTCGGCATCGACTCGCCGGAACTGATGGCGCTTGAAGCGACGACCGCACCGTTTCCAACACATTCGCGCGTGCTTACGCCGTTTGGTGTTGCTGTGGTTGTGGCGTTCAAAGCTCCCGTGTACGAGGTGCACTTGGTCGACACGGCGCTGGCCTCTGCCAAAGTGGCAGTGCAGCAAGCCCACGTGTCCCTGCTCTCGACGCCGCACCCGGACCACCATCCGTTGCCAGTGCAATCGTTGGTCGTGGCTGCGCCGTTTGGGTACGGTCGTGTGCGCCGCTTCCGGTCCAAAGACTCGATCTACGAAGTCGAGTTTGTCCAGAACCGGCATGGGATGGTCGGATTCATCCATGCCTCGAAAGTCGCCCCCGTGCAGCAGCCGACCCCGCGCCGGTGGAATGTTCAAACCAGAGTCCAAACGCCATTTGGACCTGGCGTAGTCGCGGTCGAGACAAACGAGCGCGGCGTTGTGGGGGTCACACTGTCGGCGGCAAGTTTACACCAGTCCAAGGTATTTGTCCAGGCGGATGCGCTTGTCGAGGAACTCGAGGTCAAGCCGAGTTTGGGGCTGCTTTCACGGCTGCGGCGGTCGACCATGTGGTTTGAATCGAAGCCCCACGACGCGGCCACAGCCATGTTGCCGGTGAACCCACCGGCGGTCCACCCAAAGCTTGGCAAGCCCGTGAGAACATTGTGGGGCCCGGGGATCCTCACCGCCGTTCGACCCACGGACAACGTCCACATCGTGATGTTCAAAACGGGCATGCAAGCGTTCCTGGTAGCGGGAAGCGTCGGCGAAGTCGTGCAAGCTGCCATGGGCGAGGTCGTCAAGACTCCGTACGGCAAGGGGGTTGTCCTGACGTACCACCCGACTCGAACGGGCGTGTTCATTGTGCAGTTTTCGTTTGGCATCGGATACATCCAAGCTCGAGACTTGGAGCGACTCCCAGACCGCGACCCCCCCGCGTCGTGTGCTATCATGTAATACATGCCTTGACCCCGCACGTGCCCAGCACACATGCCAGGTCGAAGGGGGCGCCGGTGGTGACCCCATTGAATGGTCGAATGCGCATGCATGATCCAGTGCCATTGTCGCCTCGGCCTCTACGTGTGGGGGTAAAGCAACCACGACGACTTTGAGATGGACGGGGGTATTTGCCTCCGACGACTTCGCGGGCAGTGAAGGGTTTCCTGGCTAGATGGCGGATCGGCAGCTAGTCACGCCATCGCTTTCGAGACATGTCGAAGCCCCAACGGATACGCAACTCGATCGAATTGCCAGGGGCACGATGGACTAGCAGCCTTGACATGTCATCTCGAAACGGAGAGATTTTGGTGGTGGTCCCACTGCATGACCAAATTCCACGGCGTGAACGGCGTGTTTGGTGGCCCAAGTGAGCTCGAGTTGTTCTCACGTGTCAGAAGGAGCGGCGCATGCTTCCAGTCGACGTGAGCAAGATGGTCCATGGAAGTTCGCCGCCGGGGGACGTGATGACATGTTTACTCAATGGTCACGGCCCTGTCGAGCTTATACATCGTCCGTGGGTGGAGGCGATGCCCGTTGGCGAAATCTACTGCTGTGCCGACTTTGCGGTCGGCAGGTTGCAGGTGCGTCACGACCAGCCACGCGTTGTCTGGCGTGCGAACCCACAGCGCTTTCGAGGACTTGTCGAAGAAGAACGACCCGCCTTCGAGAAGGCACGGCGGCGACGGCCACGACGCCAGCGTTGCTTCCATGGTGGCGACGGCGCTGGGCGATGGAACGTGCATCTCAATGAGCTTGATCGACTTGGAAGCGAACGCGCACACAATGCCAAAGGTTTCGCCGACCGCGCGCCACATCTACCATACAAGAGGTCACCATGGGAAGGCACCGAGTGGAGAAGAGCGTGGCTACGTTGTAGAGCTCGTCGCGGGGCTCGTTCCATGTCACGATGCCGTGCTAGACAAACCCACTCATGCGCTGTGTCAAGCCCGATCGAATGTGTACACACCTCCCGCTTCATTTTCGGCGCTTTGGTCGCGACTGCGTCGTCCTAGACCGGGTTGCATGAGATTGAGGAGCGCCATCGTCGGCGACCATTCATTGCATAACGGATGGCCACCAGATCAACTTACTTGAACGATAGCACGTTTCTTTTTGTTGTCTACATCCCGCAGGACCTCGACAACGCACTTGGCCCCTTCCTCCGCCAAGAACGTCGAAAGGCTGCGGACAACGTGTGAAGCGAGATTCCACGACATTGATATCGCTGACCTGAGGTAGGTCGACGTCGGTGGGATCGGCAGTTCCTTCTGAAGGAGGATGCGGCCCACATCAAACGCCCTGCATGACAGGGTTCACGGTACAGTGAGTGACGACGTCACAGGGAGGCAGCGGAAATCGTGGGAAAGGCATGTACAATGGATCGATCTCGATTACAGAAATGCCCGTTTTGGTGTCTCCGTGCAAGAGAGCTCGGGGAATCGGCGCCGGTCCTCGGTACTACAACGACGTCAAGAAAGGTCGAAGGATTCCTCGAGGGATGGTATACCTTGGGCAAGAGCGACGGATGCATGTTAATGGCCCCGTGCCGCACGTTGGCCAGCATGTGCGGATGCTACCGACGTCGTGTGAGATTAGCGACAACGAGCGGAGCATACGATAAAGTAACCAAACGACACCACGACGCCGATGTCGAAGCTCCCGTTCGTGGCTGGCATGTCCCAGTCCTTGAGTGATTTACTACCACACCACCGTCAACATCGTTGACACAGCCAGCCGTCGGAGGACGTACACGTTGTCTGGAATATGATGCACCTGTAGGTTATGCTCCAGCGCAAACTGCTTGACTGGAACTGGCGCCTTGTTGCGCGCCTTGCCCATACGTTTGTCTGGAGGACAGATGATCTGCCGGATCGAGTCGTTCGTTGCGGTGCATGAGGAAGGTCAAATCTCGTCGAGAACGTACCTCAATGTCCTCGATAAGGGGAGTCTTCGATTGCCCAATCCTACGTGCATGAATGTACGAAGAGTTGTAAGAGATTGGCTCTTCTCGACAATTCGACGTACATGTTTGCATGCAACAGCTTGAGCGTTGCCAGTGAGATGTTGTCGGTACCAAAGAAGAGAACACGCAACAGCGATGTTGCTGTCGTTGCATATCGCGAGATTGCCTGGGACGAAAAGACGGACGACCGCGGACGGCCGAGGAGCGGCACTCCACGATGTCGGAAGCGCGACAACATCATGATGCTTTCTAGTTGAAAACTAACGGAATTCCAACCAATGAAACGCCACCAAATTGCGCTTGATAAAAGAACAACAAAGTGTTAATACCATAATTCATTTTTCCATGAATATATCGTAGAGTTCGACAGAGAATGCACAATGATTCCACGACCGGCTGCAAAAAATGTCGAAAAAATATCTTGCATTTTAATGGATAATGACAAAATTGTGGAGAATTAGGAACGATAACCTCGATAGAAGACTCGACCACTGGCTGCCGCGCATTTTCACAATCAGTGCATCAAATGAAGTCGTTCACCAAGTTGTTGGTCGCCGGTGGCGGTATCATCACGTTCGTGTCCGTGGTCACGGGTCCTCTGTCCGAATGGAACGCCCGCCGAGAAGGCGCTTTGGTACGACATTCATGAACCGCCATCTCGTCCTGGCTAACGTGAATCGTTGCGTGTGTAGTACCTTAAGAACCTGGAAGAGAAGGCGTACCAGAAGGCGGCATAAGTGGGAAACGAGCATTGTACCGGCGATGACAGACGCGACAGTTGCGATGGTGGCCAACAGTTACACACCTGGTTGGCACCATATCGCCGTAGAGCCGCGTCCATCCTGGCTGAACGAAATATATGACGTATTCTATGCATGACCTTTTGCGCACTTGCACCATCGCCGTTGCTCTGGTCTTACTGCATTCTTCACAGGTACTCCTTCCCAATTCACATTTTTCTCAATGTACAGGCCAAAGCACGACAAATGAACATGTTTGGGTCACAATATGCTTTTCCTCCCTCGTCCACATCAGGACATGCCTTTAAAGCGTGATCGAGTTGTTTCTCGACAACGCCGGCGGCGCGGGGGTGCCATACTCAAATGGGGACTCGTCGCCCATGCGATCCGAGTTATTGTTGAACGAACCGAAGTTGGACCCGCTGAGGAACGAGTCGCCGCGATCGTACGAACTGCTACTTGCACGCGCGTTCGAATCGTCGTCGTCCCAAAGGCTGTTGGTTGAGTCTTGGTGAGCAACAGGCTCATGATTGACGGCACTGTCCGTGCGATTCGACTCCATCGCGCTCACCCACAAATTGTGCGAGTTGCCAGAGGCAGCGCTATCGCAGATACTTTCCGAGTCAAAATGATAGCCTTGGGCGGCGGCGGCCGCGTGGAACGGCGGTGACGACAACCGTTGGGCATTCGAGACAAACCCGTCGGAGGGGTACTTGGGCGGGGAGACGCGCGATTGCTGGAAGTACGGGTTTGATTGACTGAGGCGCGACCCAACGGGCGAAAACACTGGCGGCGACGTCGACGACGAGGGCTGCTGCTGGGTAGAAGGCGCCGAAGCACCTAGGGCGAGGAAGAGCTGTTCTTGTTGCGTCGGTCGAGTGCTCTTGTTGGGCGGCGACAAGACATCGTCGTCGTCGTAGGTAGATCGCCGACGACGCAACAGGATAAACGCGATCGCGACAAGCATTACACCTGCGACGCCGCCGATGATAGCAACAATGAGAGTTGTTGTGTTTGACGAGTCTGTCGCCTCAGAAGTCGTCGCGGATTTCGTGGGAGGTGGTGTCGTAGAGTTCGGGGTCAAAGGTTTGCGAGAGACAGAAGCAGTTTCCTCACTCACTGACGACGAAGATGGAGTTTGCGATGGTGTGGATTCGTCGGGGGAAGTGACTGTGGTGGGTTTGGGAGCACTTGTGGATGTGTTTCGGGGAGACACGGTTGTGTTAACCTCCGACGACGAGTCGGTGGGTGTCGGAGATGCTGTTGATGGCGCGACAGTGGTCGATACAGCGGATGTGGTGACAATTGGCGCGGTCGTTTTGGGAGCTTCCGAGGTAGAAGGAGATGAAGTGTTTGGTGGTGGAGTTGTCAGCGGTGCAGGAGTAGTTGTCGGAATAGGTGGTGATGGTGCGGCGGATGTCGGTGTGGGTGGCGCAGTCGTGACCTCAGGCGTCGAAGTCTCCGGTGGCAGGATGGTGGAGTTTTCTGCTAATACGGCGGCGCGCGACGTCACCAACGCAAGGACAAGCATGAGTGTTGCGCCGTGGCGAGGCCTCATCGTCTTCGAGGGTGTTGTTGGAATTGCGCCGATCGCTCCCGCGAATTTAATCAAGTGCTGGTCATGTCTCGACGAAACATGACATCATTTTATTAAAACACCTTGGAAACATTATTCCCAATGGGCAAAATCACGATAATTTTATTGAACTTGCAATTACAATGATGTACTAACGCCTGGCGTGTGAAATGGAGATTTCGACGACCTCAACTCGCTCGCATAATGTAATCCATATAAAATTGCTCTCCTCATAGAGAGCAAATGAGAGCCGAGGAGGTCGCTCACTTTCTTGACAGGCGAGTGGCCCACACTGGGCATCGAGCCTGTGTTGTGGCCGCGCGTCCCGTCATGAATTCCTTCCGGTGTCCTGCTGGGGCAACGCCCTGGTGCACTGCGGCGAGCAGCTGCAGTGCGAATAGGACACTTGTCCCAGTTTGAAAGCTCGCCTTGCGTGACTAGCACATCTTTTCACATAAATCGTGAGAGAAACTCACAAAAGAGGACAAGCGCATCTGGTGGCCGTCAGAAGTTTGTCGACGGATGGGCTCTGCGACAAAACATCTAACTTGGTCACCTCAAGCACTGCGCTACGTGAGTTCCCGCTTGGCGACGTCAACTTTTGTCTCATCTTGCGAGGATAACGATGCCATTGCACAGACCACCTCTCTGTCCAGTTTGACAACAACAACGACCTATTTAAAAGTTGAAGGATTGGATTATTTCCACTTGAGAAATTTCATGACGATTCTTCGAGGCACTAGTAAAATCGAATTGATAAAAACTCATTCATTTATTAATGCTCCTGTAATTCGTTCGAAGTACTGTAATTCGAAGAATATTTGAATGTCTGACACGCCATGTCAAATTGGTTTATGCTGGTAGCGGTTTTCTGTGACTTAATTGGATAAAAAGATCTGAACACACTACTAGTAGTTCAGGGTGACAATACCGAGCGACCACTAGTACCTACTAGTACTACTGATTTCCCTCCAACTTTGCAACGGGGCAATTTCGATCATTTCTACAAAATAATATTATAAGAAGACAGAGGGAATTCAAGCTCTGTAGCGCAGTCCACAGTTGTGAACTGTTGGGAGCGGACGGGCATTCTAGACTGTGATCAGTCAACTTATACT